CTGAGCAGGGAGCCCGATGCGGGACTCGATCCCAGGACTCTGGGATCATGACCTGAGCCGAAGGCAGACGCTTAACCATCTGAGCCACCCAGGCGCCCAGTATTAAATATATCTTAAGAACAAACTTTAGTTGGCTTAAGAAATCAGAAGCCATTTTAAAAATTACATAAGTTTCTCAGAACTTTTAGATCGCTGAGAATGATGCCACCTGCTATCCTGAATGGCAGTACCAAATGAAGAATATGCAGTATTCAATCAGTGTATGATGAGATAAGCACTGATACCAGCAAAGGATTCACATTCAAATCTTACTTGCCATAACAGAACTCATACATTATACACAAGCAGTAGGCCATGGAGGTTATACAGGGAAAGACCATGCATGAACTCTGGAGTCAGAAGCCTGGCTCCAAACACCCTGCACAACCATACCTTGTTACTTCATCTACATAAAGAGAATATTAAAAACAACCACCATTATCTTGTGGGCTTCTTAGAATTTGTTATATTTAAAACATTAGCTCAGGCCTAATAGTAAGCGTGTAGTAAATGGTATTTTAATATTCTGCTACTATTATGGTGAAATATTATACCTAAAATATTCACCTAAGTCTATGTGGCCCAGAATCTTAAAAAATAATTATTTTGCAAACTCTCTGAGTTTTACGAAGTCCTGTTTAAAACAAGTCAGTCAAAGAAAGACAAATACCATATGAGTTCATTCATATGTGGAATTTAAGAAAAAAGACAGATGAATGTGGGGGGAGGGGAAGAGAGGGAAGCAGACATGAGACTGTAAACTATAGAGAACAAACAGGGTTGCTGGAGGGGAGGTGGGCGGGGGGATGGGCTAGATGGGGGACGGGCAGTAAGGAGGGCACTTGTGCTGAGCACTAGGTGTTACATGTTAAGTGATGAATCACTAAATTCTACTCCTGAAACCAACATTACACTATATGTTAACTAACTAGAATTTAAACAAGAACTTTAAACAAACAAAAAGACATATCTAACATTTTAATAGGACTTTGTTATTAAAATTTTTGTCAAGTTATGGAGCGAGTTTAACCTATTTCCTAGCTTGGGTACAAAATTTCATATAATGTTAATAGATAATCATCTAAGACTTTGGCTTAAAAAAGTTTATATTCTCCAGCACTTCAGAGGATTTTGGGGGTAGAGGATGATATTTTGGGGGTACCAGGAATTTGTTCCTACATATTAAAAATATTTTTTCTTTGAAATAGATTTGTTTTTCTTATAAAAGAAATATGTGCTCAGTAGAAAAGTATAAAGATGAGAACAAAGGTCACTAGTAACTACATCAAATAAAAATATGCCCACTGTTAACATTCTAATATATGTGCATATTTACATAAATACTTAGTTAAAATAAGAGCTATATTCTATATACTACTCTATATATTATTTTATATACCAGAATTTGATCAATTTGTTGATGAACATTTAGGTTGTTTCCATTCCTTTGTTTGTTTTGTTATCATAAAAATGAAGAACCTAGTACATACATCATTACAGTTTTGTCCAATTATATCCTTGAAATAACTTCCTGTAAATGCAATGCTAGGTCAGAGGATGTACCTATTCAAAATGGCAATATATTACCATCTACTCTTCCTGAGTATTTGTATCAAATTTGCACTTCCATCAAAAGGATATACAAATGCTCACATTCTCACATACTTGTCAATACTAGGTTTTTATAAATATTTTCAATCTTTGTCATCTATTAAGATTCTAAACATTAATTGATAAAATCTGTACCTAGGAGACAATAAAATACTCCATACCTTGGTCATCATGTTCTCCTCTCCAGATAGTACTTCCATTTGGAAATTTCGGTATGTATTATCAATATTATTGATTTTATTTACTGCTGAGGTGATTCCTGGATTTTTGTCAATCATAACTTGGCCTGAAAGAGAAGAATCCATAATAAATATTGCCAATTGGCTGCAAAATAAAACTGAAAATATGAAATGGAAGTAAACCATTTTCTTTTGGTTTATGGATCCAAAAATTGCATCTAGTGTGTATATAGTGGCATGCAATACTAAAAATTCAACAGATTAGTAAAGTTAATGTAGCCTTCAATACAAACACAAAAAACCATATGGGTATATATATATTTTTAAGATTTATTTATTTATTTGACAGAGACACAGAGAGAGAGGGAACACAAGCAGGGGGAGTGGGAGAGGGAGAAGCAGGCTTCCCGCGGAGCAGGGAGCCCGATGCGGGGCTCGATCCCAGCACCCTGGGATCATGACCTGAGCCGAAGGCAGACGCTCAACCGACTGAGCCAGCCAGGCGCCCCGTTATGGGTACATTTTTAAAGAAAAATTTTTGAGGGGCACCTGGGTGGCTCAGTCGTTAAGTGTCTGCCTTCGGCTCGGGTCATGATCTCAGGGTCCTGGGATCGAGCCCTGCACCGGGCTCCCTGCTCTGCGGGGAGCCTGCTTCTCCCTCTGCCTCTTCTGCTCCCCCTGCTTATGCTGTCTCACTCTCTGTCAAATAATAAAATCTTAAAAAAAAAAAATAAAGAAAAATTTTCGAGGAGTTTGGGTCTACCTAATATTTTTCCTTTTTTTTTTTTACTAGATCTCAAATGGACCAATACACAACAATAAGCAAAAAGGTAGACCATAAGGTAAAGAACAGAAAGAAGAGTTGTAAGGAGCACGGCAACAAATCTCAGAAATCACCAGCCTGTCCCCACTGGCCCCAAACCAAATGTCTGCTTTACTGTGTGCTTGAAACAGATGCCTTCACTTTGGAAATATAGAACAGCAAAATAAGTTTTCAAATAAAAGAAACATAGATTCTTGGGGTGCCTGGGTGGCTAAGTTGGTTAAGCATCTGACTTCAGCTCAGGTCATGATCTCAGGGTCCCTGCTCAGTGGGGAGTCTGCTTGTCCCTCTCCCTCTACCCCTCCCACCTGCTCTCTTGTGCGCTTTCTCTCTTAAATAAAAAAGTCTTAAAAAAAAGAAACAGATTCTTTAGAGTCTTATCTAAATACAATGTTCATTTACTTAAATTGTTCTCTTTGTCAAGTATTTGCCAGAGCCGAAAAAGCTACAAATAAAATACACCAGAAATGGTATATTGATGCCCTTTAATTAAAGTCTACTTTTTCCAGCACTTAAAAAATTTTTAAGAATCTATATGCTAGGGCGCCTGGGTGGCTCAGATGGTTAGGCGTCTGCCTTCGGCTCAGGTCATGATCCCAGGGTCCTGGGATCGAGTCCAGCATCGGGCTCCCTGCTCCTTGGGAGCCTGCTTCTCCCTCTGCCTCCCTCTCTCTCTTTCTCTCTGTCTCTCATGAATAAAAGAAAAAAAAAAAATCTTTAAAAAAAAATCTATATGCTAATCTCACTGCATAAAGATAACTTGATTTGTAAGTTAGTAAAAAGTACTCAAAAATACAAATACACTGATATATAACCAAAATTTGTCCAGTTTCTTTCTGATAATTAGAGACCTAATTTTGAATATGATAATATCAATAAACTCTAGCCAATCATTGTTCTTATCCTGTTCTGCTTCAGGTATCAGAACTCAATTTTTAACATACAGGAGTTTGAAATGAGGCATGAAATAAAAAAACCAAAACCAATTCTGAAAGTCTATAGTAAAAGTTTTAAAATTATCACTGTATGAGAATGTTTCACTTTTAATCTTTGAGTGCTCCTTTATAAAGTAGAGATGCCAAAAGGCATGTTTGAGTTATGACAAGTAATGACTCATAGCAAAGTTTATCCTTGACATTTGCACCCAGTTATAATTATAAAGATCTGCTTAGATATTTATTGTATTAGCCCCTTTCATCAATAAAAACAAAGGAAATGCATAACAGCCTATTTCTGAAATTCTACCCATGCAAAATACTGAGAACTACATTTTAAAGGTGAAAATAACTCCCAGAAGTGCTGACAATTACTCTACATTAAAAAAAATTAATCCGGAGAATACATGGACATCAAATATTTGTAAAAGGTTAACTGTAATCGTGATTAGTCTTCTACTTCTTTCTTATCCCAAAGGATAAAGGACCCAGGCTCAAACTTGGGCTTACGGAGGTACAACATACAAAAGCATCATTTTTTTTTTTTAAAGATTTTATTTATTTGTCAGAGAGGAAGAGACAGCGCACGCGCACACAAGCAGGGGGAGCAGCAGGCAGGAGAAGCAGGCTCCCCGCTGAGCAGGGAGCCCCATGTGGGACTTGATCCTAGGACTCCAGGATCATGACCTGAGCTGAACGCAGATGCTTAACCAACTGAGCCACCCAGGCATCCCACAAAAGCACCATTTCTAAAAGGCTAAGGGTACTAAAAAACAAAGTATGGTGCCTGACATATAGAAGAGGCTCAATCAGTTGAATCAAAGCATGAGTAAAGGTCTTGCACTTTTGATGGTAAGACACTCAAAATTTAAGAAACCTAGAATTCAACATAGTCCTGAGGGTCTAATAAGTCCTGTGTAGCAAAATGACAAGATGCCAAAGAATTCTGCCAAAGCGAAAGATTCGAGTTTAATCTATGCTTGTATACTGTATACACAAAAGCCTGAAATGATTTTTAGAGCTTTGCTATCACTCGGGAAAGAATATTCCAAAACTATTCTCAAAAGAGAGGGTATGTAGCCCAAGATCCAGTTTAAAATTAAAATGATAAAATGTCCTGCTTCTGTAATTTGACATCTAAGAAAATAATTTTAAAAACTAAAATTAAGACTTGCTAATTACTTTCTAGTACATGAAAGACACACCTACCAATTAAATGCTTGAAAGGTAGTTGATGATCTCGAAGGTTCAGGTGGGCAATATGTCCAACTCTGCTAAAACCTGAAGTCACATCTTGACCTTCAGGAAGCACAGCTTTCAAGATTTCTTCTGACTTAAAGTTTTCATAAGTTAGTTCCAAATTATATTTAGATATCTGTGGATTGACATTAAGCTGCTTTAAAATACTGAGTTCTGCTCTTTCAAAGGAATCATCAGTAAATATTTTATAGGGATCCAACATAATTAGTCTATTTTCTTCATCTTCTGGATCTTCAATCACACGTTTTATGCCTGGGCGCTGCAGTGCTGCCCTTTTAAGGGATCGCATCAATTTATTGACTATTTCCTTCCTTACTTTAAGCACTGGGATGGTTACTGTCTTTTTAAAAGCTGTTCTATCAAGTTTTGTCATTCCTCGAACATTAGAGGGTGGTGAAAACAATTCAGAGTCTCTCCGGTCTGATTCTATTTCAGGCATGGTTGAGAATCTTTTTCTTTGATCCAACAAGAAAATACCAGGCGCTCTGCTAAGCTTCTGTATCTGTAATGTCCAAGCTAGTGGAGTCAATGATTCTGATTCAGATATTCTACATCTTTCCACTTTGAAAAGTATTCTTGAGAATCCAAATGGCCTCCATAAGATCCTAAAAAAAAGGATGCATTTAAAAAAAAAAATACCATAAAACTACAAACTTACATGTTCACAATAGCTTAAGAATAAAAATCTAAACTCTAGGGGTGCCTGGGTGGCTTAGTCAGTTAAGTGTGAGGCTCTCGAGTTAGGCTCAGGTCATGATCGCAGTGCGGTCATGAGATTGAGCTCTGCATCAGGCCCGGTGCTCAGCGGGAGGTCTGCTGGAGATTCTCTCCCTCTGCCCCTCCCCCCACTCTCTCAAATAAAATCTTAAAAAAAACCTAAATTCTACAGTTTTAAACAACCGCTAAATGCTGATAATTAAAACTTCTAGTGGTGACAAGTATACTATCTTTTCCATGATATGTTGTCTTTTATTAGCAATAAATAATAAATGTGCACCTTCAACCCACCTGCTGCCACGACAAGGGCTTAGTGATCCATCAGCCTCCCTATAGTCTATGAACCTCTCCACCAACAATTTTCTATAGCATACATGTGGGATTGGAAGGCTGAGATTTGAGTTAAAAGATCACCTCTAAATGAAATGGTCATTATACTTACGACTTTCCCAATGGCAATATTTACTAGGATATTCTTCTGACTGCTACATGCTTTACACACATTATCAATCTTGGGAGGTGTGTGATATCACATCCTTATTTTGTAAACGAGCAAACTAAAGGTCAGAAGTAGGTTAATTCACCCAGTCTCGCTGCTGTAAGCGGCTGAGCAAGGATTAAAAACCAGGTCTGACTGACTTCAGAGCCTGTGGTCTTAATATATTGCTACATTGTTTGTCTTCAACGCTTTACTACAGCAAGTCCTGCCTATGACTTGCGGTTTTGGTATTCTGAGGACTAGGATTTGCTAAGTGTTACATGCCCCTTCCATTCATGCACAGTATCAGTTATTCACTTTGCCTTCTAAAATACCAAAGAACCAATTAGCAGGGGAAAGGGCCCTGCCCCAGGACCCTGTAAAGCAATTCTCAAACTTCACAGTCAGGGTTCAAATTCGGCTAGCAGTTAACCAGCTGTGTGATCTTGTAATATCTTAACCCGAGTCTCGGTTTCCCACGTGTAAAATGAAACGCTCTTTCAGAAAGCTTTTGAAAAGATTAAACTCATTCCTTCCTAGCCACTACTCGGACCTAGGCTCAGCACCCAGGCGGTGGGGGACCTCGCGACGTTTCTGCGCGCCAAGATACGCGCGGCGGAGAGCAGATCGTGGTGGACGGGTACTGCCGCCCGACTCTCAGCCTCTCCGTTCAGGGGCCTTGCGGTCACCACCTTACCAACGTCACCATCCCAATTCCTGGCATCGCTCCGCGGTTGACTCCAAGACTAGACCCCTCACCTCATGCTCTGATGCAGCTCGGAAATGGGTCGCTCGTGGAAGGCTGGCCCTCGACGACACCATCACCGTTCGCCACCGAGGGGCGAGCGTCATCAGATCGCGTCGATTCCCTCCTTTCTTCCCCGCTCTGGTGAGGTACCGGAACCCGGAAGGGCCGGGCCCACAGCCCCGCCTCCGACGCGACTAAACACTGGAGGGTGGTAGCTCGCAGATGGACCTGGTAGTCGGCCAGCGAGCAGCATGGAGGCGCCCTGGGGGATCGACAACGCTGAGCGGAGCTGGTACGTCTCTGCCCAGCAGCCCGAAGAGGCGGAGGCGGAAGAGTTGAGCCGTTGCTAAGCAACGTAAGTGGCCTCCGCTAGCTTCCCGGTGCTGAAGGCCTCCGGGCTTTCCTGAAATGCCTGGCAAGTAAGACCGGGAAAAGAAGGAGGTGGGGGTGCGGCGGCATGGGGATAAGGGAGAAGCTGGAGCCTGACTCTTGGCGGGTGGCGCCCTAAGGCAGCAGCCAGAGGCGGATGAGATCCGGCGGAGTGCATGAACGTGGTAGCAGCGTAACACGGCTCAGAAAGAAAAGCTGAAGGCGCAGGCACAGGTGGAAGAGGATGAGTGGATGAGCAGCCCTAGCGTTATGTAACTCAGGGCTGTTTGTTAGTGTCTTTGTGGACTTCCTGTTCCCTCCACCAGTCTTGTGAGGTTTTTGCCAGAGTCACGAGATTTTTCTTTTCTAGACTTAGTCATTGGCTGCCTAAGAAACATCTTCATACAGAGATCCTTAGCGGTGAAGGAGTGGAGGTGGCCTGGTGATAAGTACATAGGTACTTCCTTGACCCTAAAGCCTGAGCAATGGGTCCTTGGCCTTTTAAGTCAAGTCCCTGCTCTGTAACAGTTTCTAGGACTTTGCTCCCAAATGCTGTTTTGGAAGAGGGTGTTTTCAAGGGTATCTTCGGTAGAGCAACGTGAATTGCTTCTATTTATTATATCGTCATTGCAAGGTATTCCTGACCATCCTTGCATTTGAGCTGACTTAATTCATTAAATATATAGAGATTACTTTTGCAGTCCCAGTATTGGGGAGCAACCATGGTCTCCAGCAGCCCCAAGCTAAGGATTTCTTCAGTAATCACACGAGCTGAGGCCATCTCCCTTCTCTCTGTCCCACCCCATTCCTATCCTATCTTCCTCTTTTGCAGTCACAAGGTTAATCATGGCTTTTCCCGAAGTCTCCCTGGGCTCCGTACTGGTGGAGATGATTTTCCTAAGAAACAAGATTCCTGGCGCTGCACTAGTGGGAGGTGGGAAGGGAAGAAAGGAAACCAGTGCTGCTTGAGAAACTAGTGTGTCACACAGTGCCTCTGGTTTGCAGGAGACTTTCTCCGTAACTTGTCCTTCATTTCTTGATGAAGTTTGAACTTCACCATCCAAACATTTAACACTATTAAATTTGTGTGCTTGCAGGAACTTTACAGACAGGGATCCCCAGGTGTTTCATTTGGTTTTTCTGTGTTTAATTTGACGAATGCCATCATGGGAAGTGGCATCCTTGGCTTAGCTTATGTTATGGCTCATACTGGCATCCTTGGATTTAGGTGAGTTTTTTTTTTCTTCTTTTACTGTTACTTTTATTTTTCTTCATTTTGATAGTACACTGAGAAGCAAAGAGATAGGCTCCAGAGCTGGTGTTATACAGTGTCTAGTTAAATTATTTCTGGGGTTTTAGCATTTTCCTACTATTGTTGCCAGTCTATAGCTTGGAGGGATGCAATATAATTTGTATTTTTTATCCAAAAGTGTGGCTAATTTTTTAAAATGGAAACTTGATCCACACTTGCCACTCCTTATAACTTAAGGAGTGGCTATTTGTTGTGTCAAGTTGGCCAAAGTGAATTAAAATTTATCAGCCATACAGATTACCTATAAATGGCAATTTTATGAGGGTAAAGTTCATAATCTTTTCATTTCTCTCCATCTTCTCCTGTCTTTCTACTCTTAGGTAGTCTTGTTTCGCTGAGTCTAGACATGTGTTCTGTGCCTATTCCTTTTCATCTAGACTTGACTCATTCCAGTTGGCCCAAAAGAGGAGACGTTCCTGGCTTTTCTGTGTTTCCATAGTACTTTGTATATTCATTCTGTTATTATAATGTGTTATAGTGATTTGTTTGCAAATTAGTTTCCCTGCTAAACTGAAATCCTTTAGAACTAGACCTTATCTTTAGCATTTAGCATTTGTTTTGTTTATCAATAGAAGCAGATCTATTTTACCAGGAAATTTAAAAGGCATCGAGTCCCATTTAGGTTTATTTTCTGCTTTTATTTTTAATTTCTTGATAAGCAAACCAATTTTTAAGTAACCCACTTGCCTTTTTTTGTTTTTTAAAGATTTATTTGAGAGAGAGTGTGTGCACAAGCAGGAGGAGCAGAGGGAGAGGGAGAGAGAATCTCAAGCAGACTCCACGCTGGGCCAGAAGCCTGACTCGGGGCTCTGTCCCATGACCCTGAGATCATGACCCAAGCTGAAACCAAGAGTGGGATGCTCAACCAACTGTGCCACCCAGGCGCCCCCCCCAACTTGCTTTTATAATGGGTTATATGCACAAACTTTCATAATTTTTAAAAACTAAAATAATATTTTTTTTAAGTAGGATCCACACTAATGTGGGGTTTGAAATCACCACCCTGAGTGTGCTCTACTGAGTGCCAGGTGCCCCTCATAATTTTTTAAAAGTTTTAATTTAAATTCCCTTTAGTTAATATACAGTATTATATTGGTTTCAGGTGTACAATATAGTGATTCAACAATTCTATACATTACCTAGTGCTCATCACAACAAGTGTGCTCCCTAATCTCCATCACCTATTGCCGCTGTCCCCCCACCCCCATCCCGTAACCATCAGTTTGTTCTCCATAGTTCCGGGTCTACTTCTTGATTTCTCTATCTCTCTTTTTCCCTCTTTGCTTGTTTGTTTTGTTTCTTAACAAACTTTCATAATTTTAAAACTTCAAACTGTATTTGACATCTTAGGCAAAACATAATCATAGGACTCTTTTGAGTTCCCTTTGAAAAATCACATTTTGTACTCCAGGGCCTTACATGCAGTTGTATACCACTGAACATGTCCTTATTGAATCATGTCACATTTTCCATTTAGTGATACCAAACTGTTATTTTGTGAGGCCTCAAGTGTACTGACAAGTGTACTTGTATACAAATGACAAGTGTACCTCTCAGCTTTGCTGCTTAATTACAAGTATTAAGTAGACCATGAAGAATTTCTTCAACTTTTGGGGCACTCACTAGTGCCAGCTTTCTAAGAAGCTTGTCCTGTCAGTATCCTCCTGAGAATAAGTAGGAAATTATGCATATTGTCTCTTTTCACATTTTTGGTGAAAGGACCCTAATTATTACATTATTTGTACCTTTTCAAATTGTGTCAATAGATGTGTGTTAACTGCTTTTGTTTGATTTGGTGAGTGTGTATGTGTATAATGAATGCTAGGAAATGCAGTCTTTTTTTTTTTAAGATTTATTTATTTTAGTGAGGGTATGTGAGTGGGGGGAGGGGAAGAGGGAGAGGGAATCTTCAGCAGACTCCCCACTGACTGGGGAGCCAGACATAGGGCTCCATCCCACGACCCTGGAATCATGACCTGAGCTGAAACTAAGAGTTGGATGCTCAGATGCCCCTAGGAAATACAGTCTCAACTCAGTATTATAGGTGAAGGTATCATAGGGAGGTACAGTCATTGGAAGAGGAGGGATGGAGGGAAGGAAAAAGAAGACAGTGAGATTTCACAACTAAAACTTCTGTTTAGACTTAAAATAGGAAGAAATAGTTATAAAAGGGCAACAGTACAAGATCACTGAATAGCTGAACCAGCAGTCAGCAGACAAGAGTGCTGAAGGAGAAAATTGTTTTTGTTTTAAATAAAGTTTGTTTCTTTCTGATTTATTTTTTTAATCTAAAAGCAGTTTATTTTCATTTAAATAAAATTTGGTAAATACAGAATAATATTTTCTTTAGTGACCATAATCCAACTACTCAAAGATAGTCCCTGTGAACATTTGAATGTGAAAAAAATTTGTTTTGTAATGAGATACTTCAAAAAAGAAAACTTTGTGGGGGTTTGACCATGTACTCTTTTATATTTCAGTTTCTTGCTGTTGATAGTTGCTCTCCTGGCTTCTTACTCAGTTCACCTCCTGCTTAGTATGTGCATTCAGACAGGTAAGTAAAAATATTATGCTGAGTTATTTGTTGAAGCGGCCCTTTGAGATGATAACCACATATGGGATTGGAGGTCTCAAATTTAATTTCCAGCAGGCATACATTATTATTAGGCAGGGTGGTTGAAATGGAGAATTTCAAAAGGCCAGAATAGATAGACCCAATCCTAGGAGAGTACTTAAAGGCAGAATGGGAGGAGGAAACTTACCTGCCTTTCTCTACAGCACACAGCATAGTTTTCTAGATTAGGGTAGATTAGGGGAAACACCTGAAAGGGTTTTAAGGAATCCAAACTTTATGTTATGGGGAAGCAGTAGATAGGTGTTTATTCTGATCATATTTCTCCTAGGGCGATTATTTCCTCAAGGAGAACACCTTTTCAGCTTTATTCCTGCCTGCTCTGTAGGAGGCAAAGTCACTAAACTTCAGATTTATTTAGTTTTACATTTTTAATTGCAAGTCTAGAATAAGGTAGTTTTTTTTGTAAATGGCAGAATTATATGCAATTAAAACAATATAGATACGTATATGCATTTTTCCATTTGGAACTTTAATTCAGTCATGTATTAGCTTCTCTTCAGCTGCAATGAATAAAAGTATATGAATTACAGAACTGCTTTAGTAGAGTTTTTCTTATGGCATTAACAAATATTCTGTGTCCATCAGTCCTGGTCTTTTTATCTGTCTGGTCTCTTTTATGTTTGGATTAGGTCAGTTTTGATGCCAGAATCATGAGTTTAATTCTTACGTGGGTGAATTCACTTTGCTCTATCAGGTTTTGTAGTTTTCGGACTTTAAGAAGCAGAATAGATACATAAAATAGATAAAAATAGGACTCTGGCTGGAACAGGTGAGAGAAGCCCAAAGGTATTTCTTGAGAATTTTAAGACTCTCCAGAGCATGCTCAGCTCTACTCTATTTAATCTGTCTATGCCATCAGACATACCTGTAAATCTTTTTATAAACAGAGATTCATAAACCACAGGGATTCGAATTCCAAGAATCTAAGTTGCAATTTAGAAATATGTTTTTAAAAGTCCTCCTGATGATTCTTAGGCAGAACTGATTTAGGATCCACAGTTCACAGCTATAACTTGGACCAGCACCTTTGGCCATCCAGCCTGCAAATGTATGCCTTTTCTTTCAAGGGGCTTGGGTGACAGTGCAGACAGATAAAAATACTAGGAAACAATGCAGTGATCATAACAGCATCCCAAATTCAGGAATAATAGCATAAGTATCTGTAATAAGTATCTGTAACTCCTGCTGAAACTTGACTGGAATTTTAATGACATGTTTTGAAATTCTGCTTCTCTCTGTGACAAGATTATTTTTACCTAATTGTGGTAGTTTTTAACATCTTAATAGGTTACTTTATTATGTATTCTACTGAAAGAATAATACGTTAGTCAACCATGCGGCAACTATGTCTTCATTAACTAAAATGTTATAGCATGCTTTATTAATTTCAATTATTTGGAAGTGATATTCAATTTAGGAAGATTTCCAAGTAATGCTGATTGTTTTTCTCCTTCAGTTCATCTATATTTAACTTTAAAATTCTGACAACTGTCTTGGTTCTTTTCTGTTACTTTAGGGGGCGTATGAACTGAAAACCTCTGTTTCTTTCTCTTTTTTCTTTTCCTTTATTTTTGTAGCTTGCTTGGTCCATGAACTCACTTCTTCATGGTTCTTAATATACATTGACGCACCTGTCTTCCGTTGAACTCCTTCAGTCATTGTAAAATTCTCTATGGAGGTAGGCTTTTAAAAAATATGTATACGTGTATGTATATATGCACACCCAAAAGACTAGAGAATCACATGTAGCTACATGTTTTTCCTCAGTGTATTGGACTGTCATAAAGGAGTATTAACTCAGGTCACACTGATTGGTCAGAGAAAGGGCTATCATAAGTCTTTACAAAATAACTTCTTCATTTATTTGCCTGGAGTACAAGAGAAATGTTAATCTTTATAAAAATAAAGGATTTCTTCATGTGAAATTCTGCTGTTTTGGATTTTATATAGGGATTGAGGTCTCTGAAGACTGTTTTGAGGAGCGGAGGTAGCATATAAGGTACCTTAATCTCTCTAGCCTTAGTGTGTCTATAAGATGGTAATGATAATGCTTTCCTTTTGGGATTATTGTGAGAATGAAATACAGTAATGTATATAAAATGCCAAGGCTTTGGTCAGTACTAGCTTTTATTATGCGTTCTCACTGATGCAAAACCCTTAAAGATTGCAAGGTGTTGTACACACTACTCTCGCAGAAACAGTTGGCTTATTGTGATTCTTTGGGGAAGCTTCTGTGCTTAGGGAATAAACCCATAGGTCCCCTCCTCTGATCTCCACATCACTATCAGCAGGAGGGAATTCACTGACCCTACTACCACCTTTGTACTTTCCCTCACTGTCTTGCCCATATACCCCCTCTTTGTCCAGTTGGAGTTTCATGGTATGTTACTACAAGCACTCCCTTGTTCCTCCCTTTTATCATTCTACTCCTGTGGCAAAACCCAACCATGGTTAAATGTGACTCTGCCGACTTCACACATGCACCTGTGCAATTGAACGTTCCTGAAGAAAAACACACAACCTCGCAGAGTGATATCACTATGATTCGGTATCTAGTGGACCTATGACACTATCACACAATCCTTATTAACTTCCTTAGTTCATTCACTTGCTTACTCTGCTATTAGGAGGTGATTTTTTCATATCTTCTCCTTTCTCTCAAACCTTCAACACATTCTCCTTGATTACATTCTTAGCTGATATCTTCAATTTCTATTTCACTGAGAAAATAGAAGGAATCATAAATGAACATTATAAGCTCTTGCCACCACTTACACCTTCCCATTTTTCATTTGTGCCATATGCTCTGTTACTTTGGATGAACTCTTAGTGTTCTTATCTAAGGCCAGCTTTTCTACTTCTGCTGTGATCCCATCCGCTCTCACCTGCATCCCTCCAGCCACTCTCTCCCTTCTCCTTCTTTTTTATCATCTTTGTTTTCTTCCTATCCATTTACAAAGAATCTGTCATTTCTTCTGTTTTAAGAAGGACTCCCCATTCCTTCAGTATGCTCCATGCCTTCATAGCAAAACTCCTTAGAAGACTTGTTTATGCCAGAGAGTTTCCCTTCCTCTCATTCTCTCTTTTTTTTTTTCCCCCTCTTATTCTCTTTTGAACCCACTCCAGTTAGGCTTTCCCCCATCATTCCACTGAAATTATTGTCCCGGTGACTTACACTTAGTTGCTAAATCCAGCAGTCAGTCGTCAGTCTTCACCTTAGTTGACTGCTCAGCAGCATTTAGTAGTTAGTTGTTCCTTCCTCTGTGTGACACTTATTTACATTCTTCTGGTTTCTGTCCTATTCCACTGAATACTCTTCTTTTTTTCTGCTGAATATTCTTTGTCTTTCCATCTTCTAAACACTGGAGTACCCCAGGACTATTCCTCTGATTTCTTTTATACTCACTAGGGCTCCTGGTGACCCTAAACTTTATGTCCTTAGCCTGGATCTCTTCCCCTGAATTTCAGTCTCATATCCAACTGCCTCCATGACATCCCCACTTGGATACTGATCTATCTATCTATCTATCTATCTCAAATTAACCAAACTGTCCAATTTTGCACTTCCAGTCTATACCTTCCACTCTTTTCTCACCTAAGTAGATGATAGCATATTCCTTCTAGTTGCTTAGGCCAAAGATCTTGGAGTTATGGTGAACTCATTTTTTCCCCTCATACTCCAGATGCAAGCTCCAAATGTGAGGAAGTACCCGTTCTATAATTTTGAAGGTAAACGTTGACACAACATGTGAAGATCCTGATGAAAAGGTATAGAGGCTACCATTTGATTCAGCAGTTGTACTACCAGATCTAAATGTTACTACTAGGTATCTCAATGAGTTGAAAACTTATGTTGACACAAAAACCTGCACATGGATGTTTATACCTGCTCTATTCATAATTGCCAGAACTTAGAAGTAACCAAGTTGTCCTTTGGTAGGTTAATGGATAAATGGTGGTCCATCCAGACAATGAAATATTATTCAGCACTAAAAAGAAATGAGCTATCAAACAATGAAAAAACATGGAGGAACCTTAAATGTATATTACTAAATGAAAGAATCCAATCTGAAAAGGCTACATCCTGTACAGTTCCAGCTATATAACATTCTTGGGGCGTCTGGCTGGCTCTGTCAGTAGAGCATGCAACTCTTGATCTCAGGCTTACGAGTTCAAGCCCCATGTTGGGTATGGAGTCTACTTTTAATTTTTTTATTTTTTTAATATTTTATTTATTTATTTGTCACAGAGAGAGAGAGATGACATAAGCAGAGGGAGTGGCAGGCAGAGGGGAAGCAGGCTCCCCACTGAGCAAGGAGCCTGATGTGGGACTCAATCCCAGGACCCTGGGATCATGACCTGAGCCAAAGGCAACTGCTTAACCAACTGAGCCACCCAGGCATCCCTGGAGCCTACTTTTTATTATTTATTTATTTATTTATTTATTTATTTATTTTTTTTATTTTATTTATTTTTTGACAGAGAGAGAGACAGCGAGAGAGGGAACACAAGCAGGGGGAGTGGGAGAGGGAGAAGCAGACTTCCTGCTGAGCAAGGAGCCCGATGTGGGGCTCGATCCAGGACCCTGGGATCATGACCTGAGCCGAAGGCAGATGCTTAACGACTGAGCCACCCAGGCACCCCTGGAGCCTACTTTTTAAAAAATGGTTAGACTCTGTGACATTCTAGAAAAAGTAAAACTATGGAGACAGTGAAAAGACCAGTGGTTTCCAGGGGCTAGAGGGGAAGGAGAAATGAATAGGCAGAGCACAGAGGATGTTGGTGGCAGTGAAACTATTGTGTATGATACTTTACTAGTGGATACATGTCATTATTCATTTGTCAAAACCCATAGAATGTACAGCATCAAAAGTGAACTCTAAACTGTGGACTTTGGGTAATAATGTGTCAGTGTAGGT